TAGATTGAAGTCAATAACAACGCCATATATACACAACAATCTAAAAGAATTAATAACATATTGTGCGTTATACCTTGAGTCACTTCAATTCTCGCTACTACTGCAGCTTGGCCCGCGTAAATTTTCTTTGAATAGGAAAAAAACCAAAACAAATGGTAAGTAGATGTTAAATGAACCAGAAGACAGTCCCCTACTCTTATAGTCACGCATCATTGAATAGGTTTATTTTGGTTTGGAGGAGGGACAGGTTCTAAGTCCTTATCGGAGAAAAGTAGGATTCCTCTGATACGAGTGAGTTAAATTCGTAATTTGATGTACTTACTCCTTCGTGTTCAGTAATCGCTCTCTCTGCAATAGTATATGTTTTTCYTTTGTCTAGTGGTACATTYTTATATTGTCCATATATTTTATTGTCACCAACAGGAAAAGAAGACTTGATCTCGTTTGGTTTCAGTTCTGMTGTGACRTAAAACTCTTGTGCATCTTTGTAGTCACTGATATTTGTTGGTAAGTCACTGACATCTTTGTTCCCTTTGATTACGATAACTTGATATGAACTGATACACGTAATTGAGAGTGAAGTCAATAATGGATACAGGGGTATACACTTATTTAACTGTTACAACGAATCACGGAGCACCCAATGTTATTTATCCGGAATAACTACCTGATTGGTCCATTGACAGGATCAACTGACCATAACGGAACGTCAAATTTGTTCTTTAGAGTTATAGAATTCCCTGTAGGCTTGACAGGATCTAGAACATRAAGTATAAATGATGCTTTAGGCAGCGAGACAGCMAGCAAAACCGGAATTATTTATGGTACTTACTGTCAATGTCTGTGTCTTTTTTGCTTGATTCGCTCTTTTGACTCTTTCCACATACTGTTARCGCAGTTACCCAGAACTCATAGCTTGTACCAGGAACAAGACTGTCGATTACCATGTTAGTTAGTGCTCCATTCTGCRTGTAAGTCTTTGAAAATGAGTACTTTGGCCAGTATGGTTTAGAACCTTTTACTTCAATCTAAATYGAATGATGAAAAATATTTTAGAAATGCAAATATAAAATGAAAAATAAGTAACTCGAAATAGCGATTCATGAAGAAAGATTATTATGGCATAATCATAATCAGCTACATTTTTGAACTTATAAAACTAACRCTACTTTACAGTCAACTCTCGCCTTGCGGACACCCCRATATTACGGACACYTTGCTATTACGGACAGGAGAAAAATCCCCGACAAAAATACTGACAAAGAAATGACCGTAAATAATTTTCGCTATTACGGACGCTCGCTACAGTATTACGGACATGAAGTGACGGTCCCGAAGGTGTCGGCTGTAACGAGAGTCGACTGTATTTGGAAAAAAATACTGACAATTCTTTACATAAGACTTACCATATACTCTTTAACAACCAGTGATATTGGCAATGAACTTTTCCATCTTACTTTAATAGAAGTCTTCGTTTGTTTCTCAGCTTGTACATGAGTAGGGTTGTAAGGTTCTGCACCAARATCAGTTTCATTAGATTTAGGGACCGGTCATTAAAAAGGTTAAGATCCATGACTAGTGGTATTAGATAAATCATGGGCTCTCACCCCCATTACTTACTGGTGATTGATGTCCTTATAATTTGCAATCTGCTCCATAACCCATAGCCAACGACGCTTATCGCCCTCATTTCCACAGAGTAGTTTGTGTAAGGCTTGAGATATGCCAAGTTATAAGAAGATGATGTGCCTCGAACATAGATRAKGGGATTYGAWGACTGATTYTTCAATTTAATGCCATACCACKTGATCTGGCCTRCGTCATCAGTTGGTGTAGGTGCGATCCATCTAAGTRTTATGGATCTCTCGCTTGCAGTGCCGCAGAAAGTTGGCGGCTTCGGAACATCTTAGAGGAAAACAAGCATAGATGAATAAGCATCAACTGAATGTTGTGTTTTTATATATTGAATATAATAATTTTAACACGAATATTAAAGGTAGGGAAGGAATAAAAAATGGACGGAACGAAGGAAGGAAGAGAGGGATGAAGGGATAGGTTTAGGGAAAAAGAGACGAAAAAAAACATTGTTAATAGAGAAAACGCAGCAAATTACACGAAAAAAACTAAGAAAGAAAAAAAATGAAAGGTTCCATTATATAGAAATCAGAAATGTCACATAATTACTTACTCAGGTTCACCGTCACTTTCCCCGATGCCTCATTCATTCCTCCACTTGGCACGTAGTTTGGATACGTTGCCTTACACGTGTAGAACGTGTTACAGACCACAGCTCGTGTGTTGGGATCTTGTCTTGTACAGTTGTACTTGGACACCACATCTTCAGCTGAGATAAACTGTACTTGTAGTGTTGATTGTGTTGCACCGTTGATCTTTGTTCCATTGTTAAACCACTGTATGTCAGGGGCTGGTTCACCAAGTACACTACAGGTTAATGTAATGGAACTTCCTTTGATGCTTGGAAGGATGAAGTCAACAGTATCTAAAACCACTTTTGGGGCAACGACTGAAATGATACCGCACAATTATTATTATTGATTAGATTTTAATATTCCCGTGAGATCAGTAAGGATTTCAGTTTAAAAATACTTTCTCGTTTGACTTACAGATATCACATCCATAGACATCAAATCGTAGACAATGACCGCCCCCTGAGTTGTGGGTCTGAGGAATAATTCTGATATAACGTACTGCTATTGGATTCCTAAACCAGTTGACTCTGACGCCATTGCTATCGCTGTTTCCTTCTAAATTCTATTTAATAAAATCCGGGAAAGTACAAAAATATATAATAATAAGTGGATTGTTAACATCAAAAGGCTTTTAATAAGCTGACATAAGAAAACACCTGTCATTAGATCATTAGGATGTACTTTTGAGCAGGCTTATACATGACTAATCATATTCCAGACTATATTACCTCGACAACCTGTCCTTCTTTGTACTCATTCCAATATCTGTTATCAAAGCTGTAGCTAACTTTGTATGACGTCACCCACACTTTAACAGGTATACTACCTTGTGTTGCAATACCTGTCACTGTCTTGACCTGTCCAAGGTCAACCTGTATGTGTTCGGTCGGGTTTCGTTTTGGGCTACACCATGACGAACTGCCATACAGACGACCAAGACGTGCAGTATATTGAACACCATTACTAGTCCAGAAAGAAGATGACGTAATCTGTGAGTCTGGTATCTGTGAATTCTCAAGACCAAGCGATGAGGTACAACCTTGAACAAAATTAATAAAATTCTATAATTTTCATAACTTGTCTGACTTGCAACCATACAGAGAATACTTAAAGATATCGTACCCAATGGAAGTCCTTTGAAATCCACTCTTAGCATCTTCCATCGTTCGTACTCTGTTGGAAGTACACGGACAAACCTGGCTCTGAATGGGTTGGATATTGCATTAGTAACCACTGTTGATCTGTCAGAGTTACCGATGAACTGTCAAACGCAAGAACATGCAAAAGAAAAAACGAGAAGTGTGAGCTGGAAAATATTTTTTTATTATTACCACATATCTGTGATGCGTGTGAGAAATGAACACTTTTATTGGTTTTTATCAAAGTCAAAGTCAAAATTCCTTGTTAACATGGCGTTATCCGTCTTTCAGTTTTTCTACGGCTCTGGATCCATCTCTTTAATGGACTGTGCATTCATTAGCAGGGGGGTTGGGTCCACCAAATTAAACTACATTGCAAATTTTTACAATGGCGGGTCTCTAAATTACCTCTTTGTCACCAGACATTTCCTGATATGTTGTCCACTGCACGTTGTTTGTTGAGTACAATACTTTGTACTTTTTCACATATTC